GTTTTAGTTTAGTTAGTAGAGAGAGAGAGAGAGAGAGAGAGACAAAAGGAATAGAAGTTGTACGATCAAGAATTTTAATTTTCTCGTTCAATTTCGAGAGTGTATTATTTTAAAAGTACCTCTATTAAATTGGCAGCCTATTCCATTTTTCTGAGACTTGGTTTACACCGCAGGTGATCATGACGTGCGTACCATTCACATTCACCGTTTACATCCTGGACTCGTGGCCATTCGGACTCGTGCTCTGTAAGGTGTCCGAGTGCGCCAAGGATATCTCGATCGGGGTCTCCGTCTTCACTTTAACGGCTCTATCGGCGGACAGATTCTTCGCCATCGTGGATCCAATGAGAAAGTTTCACACGACGGGTACGAGCTTCGATTTCCCATTTTTCTGTCCTTAAGTCTTTCAGTTCCGCTAGAAGGCGGTTAGTAAAGGGGAATTTTCGCCTTTGAAAATGAAGCAGTGGATGCAAAACGTTCACGGATTCGAGTAAAGAAACCGATGAAAGTTTCTCAACTTTCCTCCTTCGAAAATAACTCAATAGAAGTAGCTAATTAAAAAGATTAACGAAGATTGCTTACAAGATTTTCTCTTTCATCGTGATAATGCAATATCTACCTGATACACGAGACAATATCTATAATAAAAGAATCGTTCTTCACAGTTTTCAAGAATACCTTACTTAACATTCTAGAAAATAGTGATTCTAGATAGTTTAGGTAGAGTGTTTCTATAAATAGGAAACTATTCGAGCGTTGTAAATGTTCATCGGGCTTGATTTACTTGATTTTTATTGTTCAAGGTACTGGAAAACGAGCAACCCGGTTCACTGTGATCGTAGCCGCGTTGATTTGGCTATTGGCCATCATGTGCGCCATCCCCGGTTCCTTCTCCTACATCAGGGTCTTCAAAGTGAACAGCAGTATTAGCTTTCGCGTGAGTTCCATCAGGCAATTAGCTCTTAATTATTTTAACCAATTATATCGATCGAGGTAATAAAATTTTTATTCGCGATCAAGTTTACTCTTGCTGTTGTTCTTTGCAACAACTCGTCGTTCCATTTTATTACGCGAGTTAAACTCGGTTTAATCGATAATTTGAACCGCTGAAGATTTTCAGTTCTGATCATTTTTCTTCGAAGGCTTGCTATCCGTATCCCCCGGAATTCGGGCCGAATTACCCAAAAACGATCTTGGTCTGCCGTTTCTTCATCTACTACGCGGTGCCGCTCATCATCATCGCGTTCTTCTACATCCTAATGGCCAGACACTTGATGCGCAGCACAAGGAACATACCCGGTGAGATGCAATGTCAGGTAAAATAAAACTTGTATAAAAGTTATATATTATAGAAAACTTGTACCACTGAAAAAGATCAACGAAAGTTTCTCCAATTTTTAAATTTGCATCGATGATCCTTCCTTCCGACCTTTATAACAGCTTTCGATTCCCATTAAACTTAAATGGGACGAGTTATCAATTTTTTTTTTAAAAAAAACCACTCTCGTCCATTCTTTTCCTTATAATTTTTGAAAAGTTTACATGATCAAGGATTTTTTTTTTTTTAAATAAGCAAGTAAAGTTCAGAGTAAATTTTTTCGTTCTTGAAAGAAAAATTGTTGTAGAAAGGAAAAAGAGAGATAATCATTTTTTTTTTCTTTTTTTTGAAAAATCGTATATCATCTTTTATAATTGTACCGTTTTGATTGTAGGTGAAACAAGTGAAAGCGCGTAAAAAGGTGGCGAAAATGGTGATGGCGTTCGTGATTGTTTTTGCAGTGTGCTTCTTCCCCCAACACGTGTTTATGCTGTGGTTTTACATCCATCCAACCGCTCAGCAGGATTACAACGATTTTTGGCATTATTTCCGGATCCTCGGTTTTTGCCTAGCGTTCACCAATAGTTGTATCAATCCTATCGCTTTGTACTGCGTGAGCAGTACATTCAGAAAATACTTCGACAGGTATTTTCATCG